CGGTATTTGCCTGACCTATACAAAGGTTGTTCCAAACTGGATAAGGAATTACCACAGGGGAAAACGCTGATTGTTTGGAAGTAAACTAAACAAATCCTTGTAGATACCTTCTTGAACTATTCCAAAAATATTACTCTACATGAGACTGTTCAAGAGTGTATATGGTTAAGAACTATCATTACACATATTACAGGAGCTAGTGTTTTGAGTTCAACCACTATCCTACCAACATACACGGAAATAATGCATCATGTCGAAGAAATGAAAGTAAGATACATCAAATGTGATAACACAAAAGATATTCCGCTTAAGTTTTTATACAATCAACAATAACAAACTCTCCTCAAGATTCAAGTGAATTAAATAGGATGCAAGGAGAATGAGATGTATTTGCTTACCAAATCATTACCTAAAACCATATTTGAAAAACATGTAGAAAGTATTAAATAAGATGCAGGGAGTGTTGGTGCCATTATCAAAGAACGTTATTGGAAGAATACTTTCCAAGTTTTAGAATTTACCATAATGAATATTTCTTTTTATTCTAAACTCATCTCTATTTATAAGAATTATAGATTCTTTGTTCTCTATTTTACTGGTGTTCCTATAACATTTTTATAGCTATTGCTAGCAAATAAGTATTTAAATTTGGGAACATAATATTTTCAAAAAAAAAATGTTGGAATTTTAGTGTAATTTAGATCGGGAGATGATTCATGTGGAACCATAAAACTTAAGAATCATGAGAACCTATATATTTATTGATGCATATACACTAATGTATATCAGTGACTATATGTACCAATGTATATATACTTGCATATATAACAAACATGTACTCATAATCACAAAATTGACACGAGACTTCTCCATAATCACAAAATTGCTACCGTGCAACTTTAGACTATTAGATCATTAGCTTATAAAGTTGATCAATAAACATAAATTGGTCTTATGGGTCTCACAAAAACTCTTGTTCTCACGTGAATCCAACCATATACATATATATATATATATATACATATATTCATCGACAAAATACATATTTTGATTGTATATATGCATCAATGGATATAAATGTTGTAACGGTTTCTCAATTTTTTCGTGTGATTCTCACATGAACCTAATCCTGTGAATCGGTACTTGTTTCATATTTAAGGGTTTATATGCTTAAAAGTACATTTATTCATATATTTCTAAGAATCACAAGATGAATGGTATCTTGTAATTCAAGGTATAATTTTTTTTTTATATTTTCTATAAATTAGCAATTACATTTGAAATTATTGCATATTGTGATAGTGATAGGCCAAAAACCGGTTCCGGACCAAGTCGGTCATAATCGGTCCCAAGTTTTTTTCATAACCGGTCCTGGTCCCGGTCGAAAATGGTAAGACCGGTCAAGGTTCTTCATAACTGGTTATGGGCCGCCGGTCCCGGTCCCGACATTAAAAATTAAATTTTTTTAATGATATACATATTTTTAATACATTACAAAATTTGTAATTGAATCACTCAAATACACGTTAAAAATACGTTTTAATATAGTTAAAATTAAATTTGTCTTACAAAAATACATTATAAAATTATTTATAAAATTATTTGAATTTTTGGGCTGGGGCGGGCCGGGCCGGGCCGGTCCATAACCGGTCCCATAAAACTGCCAAAAACCCCAACCAATCCCGGTTTTTAGTCCCATAACCGGTTCTAGTCCGGGCCGGTCCTTTACCAATCCCGATCCCGATCCTCCGACGGTCCCGGGCCGGACCGCTTTGGCCTCACTCAGTCACAATACGACCTCACTTTACAATTGTATTTGCAAGTGGGATGTGACATCCCTATGGATATAATATAATCGCTTCACAATCACAACTTGTAACCTCTGATTTTATTTTATTTTCGTTTATTAGTAAAATAATTAATTAAAATTATATTAACGTAATAATCGAATTTATTAATTTGTACTGAATTAAATTATGTGTTTTGTTTCTATTTTCATTAAATAAGATTCACATTTTTATTAAATAAACATTTTTGTACAAATGAATATTAACATATAACTAATTATCGAAAATAAATAAATTAGGTTTAACGCATACGTCAAAAAGTAAGAAAAAATTGAAGCAATATCGAATTCAAGCATTTGACGGGAAAGGTTTATGAATTATCGACGTTGCACGACATGACGTTAAAGCTATCACAAGGGTCCATGCATTGAATATCTAAGGGGCCGTTTACCAAACGCTTACCCGGGTAAGCGCTTATCAAGTCACATTACCTTATCGGATGAATATGGTAGGGACCAAGAATATTACCCGGTAAGAGGGAAACAAGGACTGGAAGTTTTACCCGGTAAGTGGGGGCGACAACTCTTACCATGGTAAATGCTTACTGGATAAAACAATGGTAAGTGAGGGCGGCAACTTTTAGTTTTAGAACTTAAACCTCTCGCTTCTCTAGCATGTGTAATGATAGTCTTCAATTATATATGCTCTCGAAGTTGTCTTACACAGAGCAATAAATCTCAGAATGGTTCAAGGAGGTAGCTACAAGGGTTTGCCTGGTTCGATTCAAAGTAATCGTCGTGTTCCCCATGGCAAATCCTTATACAGTTTAGGAACGACATTTGTATCGAGTCAGAGAGATACTAAATATTAGCAAAACCTACCAAGAAATTTGTGTTGGTATTGATTTAAATCTAGCTAACAAGTTCGTTGAGAATATAATATACGATCTAATGCATTGTGCTAAGTACAATACGTGCATTATTGTACTCAGATAGGGATATCTAGCTCCCAACACCATTTCGTCATCATTCTCTAGACAAACTAGATCTTTCCTTATATCCAACACTTCAACTGATCATGGGAGTGCTAGTCGTACGCGCTTTGTCCATAATTTTCTAGACATATGCGGATTGATGGATCAATATTCCACAAGATCGGTGTCCAAGCTCATAGACAAAATCGATTTTTTTTGAAGATATTTCATCTCAAATTCAGATTTCAAGTAGGTTATGGTTTCTTTTATTTCATCAAGAGTTTATATTATGTTCATATCATCGACCTATAAAGCTATCACTGAAAATCTGAAACTCGTTTTCTTTACAAATATGCATCATCGTTCTTATTAAGTATTCACTTAGGCCGGTAACACTAAGTCTGCGTGGATTTTTTTCAATCCACAACGTGAGCATTTTAACTTATTTGCAAACACACTACATGATTTATAGTTACTTGACTTGGGGAATATAAGGCCATCAGTCACTTTCATGCGCGCGCGCGCGCACACACACACACACACACACACACACACACACACACACACACACACACACACACATATATATATATATATAGAGGAGCGATCAAATGAAAATCACTTCAATTTGTAAAAACCGTAAAAACTACTCTCATCCGTCGATTTCATTGTTTAATCTTATGAAAAATTTTCATGAAATTGTTTAATCTTGTGAAATTGTTTCATATAATACTTTTTTTGATGAAGTTGTTTCATATATGGTTATGAAATTGTTTCATATACTACTTAATGAAATTTTAATGAAACTGTTTCATGTATTTCTCTAAAATTAAAATAATGAAGATGATAATATCCATGATTAACATCCTTCACAATAAAAATGATTAATCAATCTCTCATAATTACAAAAAAATGAACAAAATGAAAAATTATGATTGATGGAATGAAGTTTTTACAAATTGATTGGTTTTCATTTGATCGCTTCCTATTTATATATAAATATATATATATATATATATAGAGAGAGAGAGAGAGAGAGGAGGGGAGAGAGAGAGAGAGAGAGAGAGAGAGTTGGGTTCACGTGAGACCAAGGGTTTTTCATGAGACTCGTGAGTCCAATTTATGTTCATTGATCAACTTTATAAGCTAATGATCTAATGGTCTAAAGTTGCACGGTGACAATTTTGTGRTTATTGAGAAGTCTCATGGCAATTTTGTGATTATAAATGTTCAGATTGTAGATCTAGTCCAAAGATGAGAATTGGTTTTACGGGTCTAACGAAAAACCTTTGGTCTCACATGATTCTAAATCTATATGTATATATATATACACTTTTAAAATGTAACATATTTTGGCAGATGATTACGACGACGACGTATAACATAATATTATTTGATTTAGAAATATACTTTTAAAATGTAACATATTTTGCACATTTGATTTAAAAATATACTTTTAAAATGTAACATATTTTGGCAGATGACTATGACGGTGACGTATAACACATAATCACGCAATATGATTTGATTTGAAAATTTACTTTTTAAATGTAACATATTTTGGCAGATGATTATGACCACGACGTATAACACAGTATATTTATTTAAAAATATACTATTAAAATGTAACATATTTTGGCAGATGACTAAGACGACGACGTATAACACAGTATTATTTGATGATGTGACCAATAAAGAACGATCTTTTGTTTACCTACGAATTTGATACGGGCTATTCAAGTTCCCTCATCTTCTCCGCAATAAAGAACGATCTTTTCTTTTTATCGAGTTTGCTTCGCTGTCAAGACACCCGAACTCGAGCTTTTTGTAGTCTCTCGTTCTTTAAATAGAGGTTTACAAGATAAGGGACACGTATAAGATGCTAATAGTCCGAATTTAGTCTGGAATCAAGATGAAAGATTAGGCACACTGCACAGATGACGAGCATGTTGATGATTTTAGTGCCATCAAATGGTTAAGTCGTAATATTGCAATATGTATAACATTCATACGAGTTTAAATGATATTCTTGTATATGAAGGCGATATCGTAAAACTTGTCAAAACGTCATAAATTTAAAATAAAACGGAGAGGTCATTCAACCAACGGTCCGTTTGTAGCTGATATCAGATCGACCAAGCATGAGACTCCAGTCGTTTTGTGAATCTTATACACAACAATGTGATTAAGGGGTTGCTCTTTCGGGTTTGTGATTTCAACCAAATTTTTTAACACCCAAGTATCGTAAATCTGTAATTTTTCATCCGTCGTTTGATAATTTTAAACGAAAAACAGACCAAACTCCAGCCTCAAGTTCTGAAACTTCCATACATCTTACAAAAACAGTGGTGAACCCATTAACCGGGACCAAACAACCAACTTAATGCCGATAATACGAGAAAAAACTGAAAAATTATAAGCGGATTTCGCTATCACGCTATCGATACTAACACATGCAGCTACCTATAGCTCCACGATGTGTAGAGATGAATGCAAAATTGTACCTTCGGATATCTTCGTATTTTAGATCCACAACCGACAATAATTAGTATGAAGAATGAAGGAGTTTAATAGATTACCGGAAGAAGGATCACTCAAGCCCTTGCCACAGCTGAGGTACAAGCGCCACCGATCAATGTGCCAACCCTTTCGCCCTTTATCGCTTTCGTGATGTTACCGGGCTTTCCAAGATTAAATACAACAACTACATCGGAAAACCTTATGTTTAGAGGAACGGGATTTTCTTAAATGCAACTTTTGCAGAATGGAAGAGAGTTATTTAGGAGAATAACCTTCTAACGGAATTTTTAAAAATGCATGACCTTCTAACAAATTTAAGAAAATTCATCTGCCTAACACAAACAATGCATCCTTTGCAGAATGAAAGAGGGTTACTTTGGAGAATAACCTTCAGCAATTTTTTTTAAATACATGACCTTCGAAAAAATCTAATAACAAATTTAAGAACGCATCTGTCAAACAGAATAATGTCTCTTCCTCATACAAGAATGCCTCAAAATCTGTCAGAAGGTTATTCTCCTAAATATCCTATCCAATAGTATATGCCGATGTTTTAATTCACAAACAATCATCTTTTAGCTTATCGACTAATTAACTTCTGTCCATCTCGAATCTAATTCGTTGATGTAGATAACAACCATATCTAGAGGATGGAAAGACATTCGTTTGGCCATGAAAAGCAAACAAGCCATACCCAGTATATCCTACTCGGAAGTAGGGTCTCGAAGGGTTAGGATGTACACATACGTTTAGTGATCCCTTATCTATTTTGCCTAAGGAAGAATTGAAGACAATTTTATTTAAAAACATACCCGGGATGTTGTTTTCTTGGCATAAAGTGATTGCGGTCAAATCCATAACACAAAGGTCCCTCGAGGTTACTTCTTGATATGTAAGAGTCTCAAGGAGTCGAGCGTTAGGGTTAGTCCTGGGATCTTCATCATACACGCCATCCACATTAGTAGCTTTTAAAACCACCTCTGCATTAACTGCATCATTAACGCAAAATTACGACTTAAACTTTCGTAAGGAGATATTATTGTGAACGCTAAGTTTAGTTATAAATCATCGTGAAAATATGAGCTTTACGAACCCACAAAAGGCTTAGTTCAATGGCAATCCTCTGGGTTAATAAGAAGGGCAGTTCCTCTTACTCATTCCCATTGGGTGGGTGCATAAAGTGTAAGGCTTTAAGCATTTGTCCACGAGGAGAAACGTCTCATTGAAGTTTACGAACATAGAACTAAAGCAGCAATTACAATGTACACCCTCATGGAACAAATATTTGTGGACATTGTGCGACTTTACCATAAACGTTCTTTATTTCACCACCGCACCTCATGATCTTTGCCCTACTGGTCCTACTTTTGAGCCAACGACATATATCCCGATGCAATTGCCCTCAAAGAGCATCAACAAGGGCAGCAAAAATGGTCCAAAGATGAGGATTAACGGCCAAAGATTTACGTTTTATATTACTTGATATTACATGGGGCAACCAAGTATCTCAAGGGTATATTAGTCCACTGAAACTTGCTTCTAATTTCTCATGGTTCATAAACTTGCTTGTTTCATCAAAATTCAAGGGTATTTTAGTTTTATAACATCAAATTCGGAGTCGATTATTAATTTTCATGGGATATATAGAAATGGTAGGATAGAAAAGTTGGATAAATGGACTTACTCTCTGCACACCTAAGGGCTGCGGCGGTATCTGTTGTGAAGAAGGGATTTCCGGTTCCTGCTGCAAAGATGACAACTCTTCCTTTCTCCAAATGCCGAACTGCCCTTCGACGAATATATGGTTCAGCAACTTCAGACATCCGAAATGCTGTCTGGACTCTTGTTGGGATGCCGATACTCTCCATTGTTGCTTGCAAATATATAGCATTCATAACAGTCGCCAACATCCTGATCCATTCGAGTTAAAACTTAGTATCGTCTGAAAAGATTTGTCCAAAGCAACTTTAATCATTTCAGTGATAGATTTTAATTGTTCAATGAAGTTACAAACTTGTTTTCTTTGACCTGTTTTTGTCTACGGAATATGTTAAAAAGAATGATAGAAAACTCGATCCTATCCCACTCGAGAATCCAAAAGCATCATGTGAAAAAGCACTCGTAGTACTTAACAATAAATGATTTTTCTTCTTCTCAATTTTTAACATTCAAATGTACTCGAGCCATATCATGAAAATTGCATCATTTGACTAGGCACGCACAATATGTATTGAAGTATTTATAGACTGTCTAAAAATGCCCTCTCGCAGTGACAAAATAAGGGCGTCCTATGGACCAGAACAATACCATCAATCTATTGTAATGATCAAAATAAGCATATGCGGAATATTATAAACTTCATAAAAAAAATCAGGTTTAACGTGTGCTAAATCCACTTCACGTGTTATAGTCTATCAAGAAACCGAAGAAAAGCATGAAATTAACAACGAAGGGAGTTCATAACAAGCAAATTGAGGACGAGTTATTGAATGAAAGCAAGTAAGTTGTACCCAATATAATCCGCAGATGAACGGTCGAGGCCACTACTTCCTGCCCACGATGCTCCACGGAAGATATTCCCCCCACCAACAACGATGGCGACCTGAAACGTTTCATAGAAGATCGAATATTAGGATTCAAAGGCTAAAGCCAAGAGAATATTCCTATTCGTGTAGTACACACATAGTTCTCCATCCAAATACTCTTTGTGTCCCCTCGTAGCCCACAATCTTCCTAGCACTGTAGTTTCACTAAATGTGAATTATACAAATTATGTGCAGAAAATGTATGTGTATGTATGTATGTTTATATGCATGTATGTGTTTGTCAACCATCTACGCTCCAAAGAACCAAAAATGGAATTAAACTGTTGTAGGGAAAAACCACATGTTGACTAATTTGACTTGCATTAAGGTTTCAAATCCCACCAAAGAACAAACAACAATACAAGATAAACTGGAATGGTACCTCGATGCCAAGCCTAGTGACATCAGCAACCTCTCTTGCAATTGCCATCGTAACCTATTAATTGAAGGTAGTATCATATGCCAATAACAGTCAATACATCAATGAAAGGAGAGGGTATCACTATCGCCTTTCTGACCTTTGGGTCTATATTTTGTTCATGGTCTCCAGCAAGTGCTTCTCCGCTTACTTTAAGAAGCACCCTTTGCCACTTAACGGGACCTCTGGATGTGCCATTTTCGTTCAAACTAACACGAAAAAGAATCCAGTTAACTAATGAATTAATCAACATAAATAGAAAATCAAATAATCTCAGACCTCTGAACAAATTTAGCAACGGAACAAGATAGACCACCAACAATCCGAAGTTTTCATTGGGATATAGAGGAATAAGAGTCGTGTACGATGATAAATGATAACATAAAGCGGAAGAATCTTTTAGGCCAACTTTTATACACGGGTTGCAAGCGATAGTCACTCCTATTGTCCACTCATCCACTGTGTTAGCATTTAGCCTAAGATCCCATTGGTTTGTTAGATTTTAACCTCAAAAACTGTCTTAAAAAGAACTTATAAACCATAAATCTCTCAAGTCAAAATGTAAGAATACAATGAAGGCGGAAACCATCCTACGGTCCCGTAGATCCATAGCCAGATCTTCATATTGGGTGCTTAAATCTGAATTAGAACCCCAAATTTATCCTACTCAAAAGCAAATTACAACTCACACATAAACCACACATCTTTTCCAATGTGGCAACAATTCTGATACCCACCAATTTCCTACCATTCACTCAAGAAAGCAAGCATGGAGCAAGTGTAGTTCTTCTCAAAGCCTTGAAGCCCACATATGATTAGCTCAAAATCAATCATACCCACCTCAATTATCAACACTTTTACACGCTAAAAAAGAAAAACTTTGATCTCTATTCGATGGATGCTAGTTATAAGATCATTAATTAACAAACATATGCTTTTCACATTTATACGTTGTTCATGCAGAGTTCACAGAAGAAATAGGGAAAACTGAAGGGCAAAAGAAGAAAACCACGAATGCATACATCGAAAGACAAAAAAAATTGTAATAAGAAGCAATAATAATCGGGGATACCTAAACGCCATGGAATCTGAAGAGCGACCCATTTCGGAAGACGAACAATTGATGGCGAAGGAGGCATATTTGCTGTTAAACCCATAACTGATGTGATTCTGTTGATGATTTGGTTTAAGAAAACCCAAGAATGGTGAATAAGAGATGGCTAAGGAAGAAATTCCGCGGGCGATGGAGGATGAGGAGGTAGGCACGGCCATGAGTGAAGATTGTCAGAAAAGAAGGACGACACAAGCTTCGAGGAATCTGTTGCTCCTTATTCAAATCCGTGATTAAAATTTTACCCTAAATTCTTTCCCAATTGTAGATAAGGCTGGGGTATATCTATACTACCTTAATATGCATTTACATCAAAGTCTTAAGTACTACCTTTAAAGCATTAGGTACTGTTCTTTAATGCATGGATTTTAAAAATCTCTTAATTTCAAATTGTGATGCATTAGGTACAAGTTTGTAAGGCATCATCTTACCTACCACCAAAGAAGACTATTCTGATTCATCTTTCTTCCTATCCAGTTGCTTTAGACCCACTTTCATCATAAGATTCAAAATTCAAATAACCCACATCTCTACCTTTGATGCACCCATCGCCTAAAACCATTGAAATTGACATGTCCAGCCTTCTCTTTCTTTTTGTTCAACTTTTTTTCTTCCCAAATTAAGCTTTCTTCCAAAGATTCATGTGTACAATAATTGCAGGTTTTGATCAGCCTATTCAAAATTCAAAATTGTTGCTTCATCCAAGGATTATTCTTCCCAACAAATCTCCTTCAACTTATCTGTAACCTTCTCCACTCCAACCATCTCCATCTCTCTTTCTCCACCTCTACTCACCGTGACTTGATTTACCATTTCTTGACTATGTGGTAGTCTTCAAATTGATGTTATATGTGTTTTCTTGTGCTAAATTCATGTGTTGTCTTTATGAACACAAAGTGTTTGATGAAAGTTTTCTATGATGTCTTCTAACATAATTTTCTTATGTGTTTTTTAGTGTTCACCTCAGCTCATAGGGAATGGTTTTCTAATTCATGATCACCAGTACACATTCGAAGTAAATGCCGTGTGCCGGCGCCGTTCGGTTACAAGAACCCATCCTTCCACCCCTTTCTTCTTGGAATTTATAACTAATTCAATCTTACTTTATGTCGACAGATGATCTTCAAGGGACTGAGGGAGAAGTAAAGAAGAATTTTTTTTACCTCTGTTGACTGTTGAGAAAAACCAGTGGAGTCGACAGAAGAATTTTTTTACCTCTGTTACCATGCTACCGGCGTAGCTGTCGCCGTCGCTGCCGCTGCGCTGCCGCCGTAGCTGATGTATCGCCGATTAGGGTAGGGAGAGCCGAAGAGGGAGTCGTATTTTGTCAATAGGGATTTTGATTTCTGAGTTGGAAGGAGACGATGGGCAAATACAATGGGTTGGACGGGCCGGAAAGTTTGATTGAGTCGCCGGAAATCTTCGAATGGCGCCGCTGAGACGGCCGGAAAAAAGTTTGTTGTCTTCTACATTTGCCTTCTTCTTCTTCTAATTCTTGTCTTCTTCTGAAATCAAAACAAAAACAAATTTCTCGTGTTTTCTTCCAATAAACACCAGCCATTCCAAACGAGCTTCCCAACTTACTCCAACACCATTTTCAAAGCTTCAAAAGATGGATGGAGATATTAAAGTCCCACTCTCTCTCTCTCTCTCTCTAAAGTTTCTATTCTATGGAGGGTTTTGGAGTTTTTTTAGAGTTGAAGCATATGGGGTTTGTAAATAAATATTGGGGTTGTGATCAAGACATGCAATTTTTGAGGGAAAAAATTGAGTAGAGAGAGAGAGAGAGGAGTGGTTCCGGTCTTCAATACAAAGACTGYRACTTTGACTTTTTTTACCATTTCAAAACTTTATTTTCATGTTTATTTGTAATGTATTTTTGATATTAATTAATAAATTACTAACTATTACTATTCAGTTATAACTTGATGGATAATAATATTGTTGGTGTGATATATATAATATATTCTTTACTTTAGGGGATATGTATGGTATGAACTTGATGGGTAGTAATATTGTTGGTTGTATAAATATACATGGTTGTATTTGAAATATATYCTATATATATATATATAATTAATTAGATCAAAAAATATTCAATATTGGACTCATTTCAAAGGTATTAATGAAATATTTATAATGATATAACTTGTTAATATACAATTATATGCGTTAATGTAATAAAGGTGTAAAATAGAAAAAAAAAAAATATGAGATGTAATTCAAATTAATTAAGTAAATGTAATTTTAAAATTAAAAAAGGTGATGTGAGAGGAGGATGAGAATTGACAGGAGGTGGCCGAAAGCTATCTATCTATATCTATGTCTATATCTATATTTCTTTATATATATATATATACTAGAAGTGTACTCGCGCAATG